GTAGGTATGTCCGACCCTTTGTGGATCTGAGGGCGCTTCACCGCGCCCTGACGATCGGAGATGTATGGGTCCTATTGCATTTGATCTGGGCAGTCAGGTAATTGATCAGCGTATAAGATGTGTGTGAGGTCGTTTGAGGTTGTAATATTGTCTAAGCTCCCCGCATCTAGCGGTGTAGCGGGCCTAAATGAGGATGTCATAGGAATGCCCTGTATTAGCTATGAATTACTAAGGCTTGACCAGAAATGAGAGTAATGGAATCAAAAAGGGGCAATGTAAAGATGAGATGAAAAGAGTGTTGATTCTGCTGAACTAAACTATCGATCTTCACGGGGGTTGAAATACCTATGAGAATACTGTTGTAGTTCAAAGGGAGATTAATTTTCTTATTACTCATAGGGAAACATGAGGCTATATATACAACGGGAAGATCAAGTTGATTTCCAATCAACTTGATTCTTCGTATACATACTTCGGGATTAATTCCGATGGTTCGGCTTGGTTTCTGATCTGCACCAGCCTCATATCACAACAAATACTAGTGACTCGGTGGTTATAAATCCGAGGTAGTAAGTAGTGGTGAAAGTACGCGTAATACGAAGAGGGGCGTCTGATATGATTGCAAATCTTAGGTTACCACAGTGGTACCTGATAAGTTAATATAATGCTAATCTCCATTTTCCTGATAGGATGGCATGGATAGCTAGGTTTCCCACGAGATAGGTGGGCTGGCTCCTGGCGTTTGTTGATACACCATATTAGATATCTCTCTAGTGGAAGGGATACTGGAGTCTATGGGCGGGAGGCAGATTGGTAAAGTTGGTAATGATGTAAGAGATATCCTAGGGCCAGGTATCGAGATTGACTGCTGTTCTATGGAGGTCTGCGCTGAAGGATGCTTTTTTAAGCTGTCGACGATGGCCAGAAGCCGATCTAGGATGATAGATACCACGCGGTGGTAACTTTTATGCTGCATTCGTGCGGTTCGTTCATAGTAGTAAGCGGACACCTTGCGTAGAAGTTCTATTTCTGAAAGGGATGATATTTCCGAATCACCCTGTTGTGCATGGAGCACGCCTTCGAGCAGAATAGTAATGCCGGAATTAAAAAGAAGTTAAGAAAGTGATCGAATGGTAGGCTAATGGCTAAGGTTGTAGGGAAAGCAGTATGTTCCTTTGTATGATTGTTTAAGCTCCAGAAAGCCTCGGTCAGCTCAGGAGAGCGATCACCATGAATTAGTAATAGAAGAAGGCAACTAGCGCATACATCACGTCTCACTTACTAAATATGCCGCAACTATAACGAATGTTGTAGAGCTAGAATTCGAGTAGCCAAGAACTCTAGCTACAGCTGAGCACCATACGCAGACTCGGGTATCTAGCAGTCCGCGATGCCGGAGATACTTACGTACTCATCAAGCTTTTTCTCAATTAATTAAAATACAGTCTAGGCTTTTTTATCAGACCGCCGTCGACGGCTGGTTCCCTTATAGGACATCCGGTAGATGTTATCTAGATAACGGCTAGTCGTAATCTTTGAGAATATAGTGCCTAATGCTCTATAGCTACCAAAATCTCGGAGTATATATTAGAGTCACAGCTGGGGAGCTAGGCGACGGATCCTCGTATTATACATAAAATCTTATCCTATATATATAAAGACTGAAGTACCTTGGCTCGTTCTATCACCCTATCGTCACCAGCCTCGGGAGTAAGAATTCCGGTACGATATAGACCCATGGTTCTCGCCAGCATATATGCATAAGCCATTATCAACTCGGCCCAACCTAGCGGATCGAATTGCTATGCAGCGACACTCTAACACTTATTAGCAGGAGGCACAATATTATATCAGCCGAAAGGGGATAGAGGTTCATACCAAAAGTATTAATATTTATATATTAATAAGCCGGGGTGTAGTTAGAAGACGCGAACTGACCTGCGCCGCGCGACTAGGGAGCAGAGAACGGGCGAAATCTCCGACCAACACAGTGGGCGCTTAAGTGGGAATCTCCATATCGAGCACCAGCAGCGTGATCACATTAAAGCAAACCGCCCATACATCGTCGCCTAGCTAAAATGGTTACGAGTAAACTCTCTCGAGATTTCCCATCAATTTCTGCGGGACGAAGATTTCTGTGGTGCAATTAACGTGTCGAATAAAATAGTCCACTACAGTAGCGGCCTATTTCTGGGACAAGAGCTGGATTAGGGTATAGTCGCTGAAAGGAGGGAAAGGTTCTATCGAGCCAGCAATATCTTATATATTCTATAGCATGTTGTGCAAGGTATTAGAGTCATCTATCGTGCTGGCAGCTAGTACCTATATCTTAACCCGGTTACATAGTACAAATAGAGACAAGCGTCTATGATAGCGGTCGACCATATCCGAATGATTGCGGAAGACCTGCAAGTCAGACATATCAATATCCTGCGAGGAACATAGATTATCTGGCGCCAATTCTTCATCACTATTACCGCTTTCCTCTCTATCATTGCTCTCTATGGCGCGATCGCCAATACTGTTTGAGTCCTAGGAGGATAATAGGGCTGAAAAGGCCAATTCAGACGTTAAGCGAGAATCTAGGCTTCTAGAGAGGTGACTTAAGTAAGACCCGATAGTTTATAAACAGTCCTGGAGTAGCTCGACGCTATCGCATCTTAGGAAAGTCAGCATATTTGTATTGTATAATATGGGAATGATTAGCCCTACAGCAATTTCAGGTGGTTAACTCTCTTAACGGGATTCTGGTAAACACATATCACCCTATCTTCTCGATCGCAATTACTACATTGCGGACGCTCGCGACCATAGCGAATCTTGCGTTCTCGACAGCGAGTGCATGCCAAATCCGGAGTATCTAAACGATTCTGTTATCTAATCAGCGTCAAGGCTTAAAATCAATGGAAGCATAGAGGCCCGAGCATCTATTGCGAAACCATACTTACTTATCAATAGCAGACATTTCCAGGGATCGCATCGAAGGGGCCTGAACTGTTTCAATCTTGATTTCGGCGTTGATCGCTGTTTATGAATAGTAGAGAAGTCTTGGTGGTTGATGATCCGCGCTTTTTGTATCTCCGCAAAAAAGATCTGGATCATTCAAGAATAAAGACGGACAGAGAAAGATCGAGTGGCTACGTGACGCTGATTTCGAAACTTGCTACACAGCTACGGCGTAGATTCTTTACTTATAGTTGAGATTCGCAGCTGGATTCTGATGGATGTGCAGGCAGACCTTAGTCTATTCGATGTATTGGGTAGTGGCAGTATCAACCTGTTGGGAAGCAGGGTCGCCGCCGTTTCCAAAGCGATTCCAAGCCGTATGTTCCAAGCCGTATGTTCCAAGCCGTATGAAGGGAGACTCTACATGAAGCTGTATATGGAGCCATAGTCGTAGATGATGGAAGTCGAATAATGTAGATAATAGCAAAATTGAATAAGTCATGATATGATCAAGTTTATAGCTAAGGAACTCACAAGCCAGTTCAATTCAGGCAAATATCGAGGACTACCTACGAATGTGAAGGCAACACGAGCTCGGTGGTTCTAACAAAGACCTTAGCACTGTAATTTCCGTACTGATCCCAAGGTCCTTCTACTAAGTTTGAATTTCTAGTGGGTGGCCGCTACTCTCCTGCGCATACGCCATACTGTTCGTAAAACATATTAGTATACCCATAGCGCATAGACTAAAAGAAGGCTAGCATGAATCATAAAAGAAATCAGCGGCGAGACTTAATGGCAAATATTTTGTCCAGTCAATATGAGTTTGGCGTAAAAGCTCCCGCGTATGCACTATCCGCATTAGGCCAAAGGTATTTCAGTAGTGAGTGACTCAACTCAACCGACCGACTCTTAGCTCCAATGTGAGACTCGGAGGTTGAGCTGTTGATAGGCGGGGGAACTCTACTTCGCATGTATGACGGTCGAAGAGTTGATGCACCCAAAGAGTCCGAACTGTGGGAAAGTTGCCCCTGCGGGTTAATTCAAAAATGAAAGAAGAATATGCAGGTGGAAGGATATAGGCTCTCCGTATTCAAAGTCGCCTGGGGAGTATGAATTTGGTAAATGTGCGAAAATGTTGACGTCATTTTCTTAGTGGGCAGACCAAACTTGGAAGGAGCATTTTATTTTCCACGCTAGCTATAGTTCCGTCGATTCCCGCACGTACATACTGCTTGAGTCTGGATACTGCGATCCATGGTATTTATTGGCTGTCTTATGTATGGTGGCCGCCTTATGAGCTTTACTAACACCACCAAAATCGCTCAAGCCTTTGATCGAGGGTATAAATAATGGCCATCTGAGTATGGTTTGGTAGGACACTCCAATCGAATCCATTTCTTTGATTGCTTGGGAAATGACCACTATTGTTTGATGTTGACTTCAGTCATGAGCTCATATCCTCAATTGTTGCAAGCCGCGTTATTGGGGTTCTGTATGTGCTCTTATTTCTGTTCCTCACAACTTTTCAACTACTCTTCATTGACTTAAGCAGGTTGTCTTGCCCTAGCTCAATCCACTACCTCTAATCCCAGTGGCCAGAGTAGAGTCTCCGATGGCCCCTTTCTAGAGCATATACCTCCCCTTTCAAATAGACTCACGGTTAGAGATGACGCGCAGAGCAGCCATGATGATTGCTCTGGAGGCAATACAGCCATGCTGATTGCCCATGGCTTCCTCATGTCTTTCCCTTTCGTCATCTTCTTACCTTTCTTTGTGATCATCGTCCCTATCCCGAGTATTCGGATATCCGTAATCAAGGTCCACGCCCCTTTGCAGCTATTCACCCTCGCTATTGTTGTTGCTGGCCTGGGGCTTGGAATCAAGCTAGGAGTCAGCGGCTGTCTGATGAAAAATGCGCACCCTATCATTGGCCTCGTTGTTGTGGGGCTGTTAATCCTGTTTCAGCCTGCATTGGGTCTACTGCAACACCTCCATTTCAAGCGAACGGGAGGCAAAGGCATCTTTGCCCACATACACCGCTGGCTAGGCCGCTTCTTTATAATCCTAGGAATAGTTAACGGTGGCCTCGGCTTCGGTTTATCGGGTGTAGGCCAGCCAGGGACTCCAAGAGGAGCCATGATTGCATACTCAGTCATTGCGGGAGTTCTGGGATCGGTGTATATCGGGGTATTGGTGCTGCTGGCTATACGTGGGAAGCAAGACTTACATCATGAGAGGAATGCTTCAGATGCAATTCTCGGAGATGAAGTCAAAATTGCCACTGATCCAGCGATTACATAAGGTGCTGGGAGATGTTTTGTGGGTTTGAATTGACAGGAAGTGATGCGCCCGGTATTTCTTAGATTTACCTATTTGGTAAAATCTCCATTTGACGCAAGGAAAGCAATAATTTGATGCTTTGGGGGAAAATTAGTTACGCATTAATTTATTTGCATCCTACTCACTCCTCTTGCATACACGTTACTTCAAACTTCCAGATATTTAAGGTTCAGCTCCAGATCTGCGGTTAAAACTCTAGGATGGTTCCAACTCCGACATTCAATGTCCGCCGCAGGGTGCCCGTGGCGACATCCCAAAGCCGGGGCTGTATGATCCCGTTATCAGACGATAGTAGGGGTAGGCTTCTTCAGGATCCAATTTGGGTCCAACTTCTAAAACCCAACTCAACCCAACCCAATACCTAAGTCTGGGTACCCATTGGGTCCCCAAGAAGACCAAATTTGGCATGAATTCCCCCTCAATTTTCATAAATTTATACTCTTGCGTTCTCTGTATTTCACTGCTTCTATAAGGTGTATTCGAATGAAACCGTAGCTATAGATCGAGAAGATTTGAATCAACCTCCGTTCTCAATATGAATCAAATCCGACCGGTGGAAGTAGAGAAAATACGATAAAACTGAATCATATGAATTTGAAAATTTTGAAGTTGAAAATATATATTTGAAATACGCGGCAGCTTTACAATTTTCTTATAATCCTTGATAAATTAATTCTAGCTTTAATTCTGATTTTATCTATGATAATTCAATATATTATGTGTGCGATATAAAGCTAATAGTGTATTAAGAGAGAATCAGTAGCAAAATGATAAAAGTTCATGTATATAGATAGGGTCTCAACACTAGCAAGCAAGATATTGACAGGTTGAAAGAAGTGATAACTTGGCTAATAACAACAAATGGTAAGAAGGGATGACTTTACCCGTGCGGTGTGACGAAATGTGATGTGCAACTTTGGTTTCATGGATATGGGTAAGTTCAACAGCGAATTTCAATTGAAGTCTTGTAGGTTATGATTTACTTCGCCAATATGAACCAAAGAGGCTACTTGCTCTTATCTTCGAGGAAGTAATACTCTTCCCGGGGTCCAGGGTTCGCAGCCAAGGACATTCGTCCTGTTTTGGAGTGCATGCGACACCCATGGATTGGAGGAGGAAATCTTGGAACCGATGATTCGAATACTGTGAGTTCTGCTGTAAAACTGGGTTTGTCGCGGCTCACGAACTCAAGTATGTTTGATGATGTCACACCACGGCAACATCACGATGTCATTAAGACTGACAAGACAATAAAATGTGATAAAGCGAAATAAATCTTTCCGCACTTTCACTCTACCGGACGATATACGCTCAATCTTTCCATTTTTTCCAAACATGGCACCCAAGGACAAATACACCGATCCTGAACTACGAAACGAAGTCAAAGAAGAGATCCATAAAGGCGACAAAGGAGGAAAACCCGGCCAATGGTCTGCACGCAAGGTCGGATGCCAATAAATTCCATTTAATGCGTGTACTAATAATATCAGGCACAAATGATGGCCTCGGAATACAAGAAGCGCGGCGGGAGTTACAACACTTCTAAAGATGGTCAAAGTGAAACACAGAAGGATCTGGATCAATGGACGAAGGAAGATTGGCAGACCAAAGAAGGATCCGGCACTGCAAAAAAGGACGATGGAACACGCAAAAGATATTTGCCCAAGGAAGCATGGGAGCACATGAGCGACAATGAGAAGGAGGAGACCGAGGAAAAAAAGGTCAAGGAGTCGAAGAAAGGCAAGCAACATGTTGAGAACACCATCGATGCAAAATCTGCGAGAAAAAAGGCCAGTCGTGATTCAGAGGGTTCTTCGAACGACGAATCCAAGGCTGGCGAGGAAGAAGGCAAAAACCAGCATCAAAAACGATTGCGAACGCGTAGATCTGGTCGATTGCAAGCTAAGGCGAATGATGAACAAGACGGTGGATCAGAGGTCTCTAGTTCTCCTAAAGCCAAGAAACGCACTGCAAAGCAGACAGAAAGTTCTAACAAAAAGCAAAAGCACGAGACATCTCATGAAGGTAAAAATGGGAAAGACAAAGACTAATGTCCAATACTTGGTGACCACAAATATAATTTGAAGCTTCTCAGATACATAATGGATCGAAGCATGTCTTGATCGAGCGCAGCGGCTGTTCTTCGCTTGAACCCCTCAGAGCTACTGGACTTTCCGTGATAGTAGACCTACCAGGCCCATCCAGTCTTGTCGTACACGTTCCCCCACCACATTGACCTAAGGGGCGGTCGGGCCAATCCATAAGTAACCCAGACAACTTCGCTCGACTCCTGCTTGGCATTAACGCGCTCAGCATCGCGGAAGCCAACAATATGCCCGTTAAACTCATATTCCAAGGTTGTTGTTTTTATTGAAGAGACATCACTTACGTGGTCTTGTAGGGTCAGTGTGGATGTTGTATAGTATTGACAATATTAACTGTGAAAGCTGGTGCGATCGGTTACGTCACGTCACTTCATTTACATACACAAATATTCGTATCTGCACTCGCATACACGTATTGACGTGAGAGTCTGTTAGTTCATGTTCGCTTAAGATTTGTACTTATGAGCTAGGATTACTGAATCTCAGAATATTGCTGAGTTTCCTGATTTGCAACGATTACCGGACGTCTCTAGTGAGATCAAAAATAAAACAAAACCCAAGCATGAAATCGCACTGTTCACGGATTGTGAGACTAACACCTCATACCAAAACCATCATGGCGACCCAGAAGCCTTCTGTACCCTACACAGAAGACGAGCAGATTCCGCTCGAGGCCAGACCCCCCTACCCCACGGCCAAGCCAATGAGGCTGTTATGCGTATATCGTACGTGGAAATAGCGCCCTACATGGCCAAATTTCGTTTGGTCGTCGGAAAACCCTTTGTTTCTACCTATGACGCCAGGGACTAATGCGATTGGCGGATCTACGAGATTGAGCCAAATGATCTACTGTCAACCCCGGGTCAGCTGGTTTTTTTGTGATGTTATTATCCGTGGACAAGGCAATCCATTTCTGACCATTCTGATGGTATCCACATGGGTGGATATCTTGCTGCAAAGGCATTTATGCACAACGAATGGCGAAATGCAAATGCACAGAATTCGCTTGCTTTTATTTGGAAATTTTGGCAATACATTTCTGACGGATGAAGATCAATCGCTCGCCAAATTGGGTCATAGGATTTCCGACACACTTCTTCTTCATTCGTTAATTATCGTATGGCTGTATGACCTTGCGCTACTCGGCCAGACCATTGAAGTAGCACACATTCGAAATACAACCAGCTGAATAAAGTCCCGTGATTGCATTGATATTCGTCAATGATTGCCATTCGATGATATTAGGGATAAATAGTCATCATTACCATCTCTGTTAGCCATTGCCAGGTGATGATGTTCAATCTTTATCCTCACCAATAATAGTCGGCTGATCATTGTCATTGTTTACACCAAATCCAGCCGCTATTTCTCGAAACTCATATTCATCATCCCTTTCTGGTTTCCAGTAACCTGGAAAGGACATCTTTCCTGCGACCACAAGAAGTATTCGTTCAGCCTCGTCTTGATCTGCAGGTGCCTCATTTCCTCTCCAAGCAACATGGGTATCCGGCCTCACCAAAACCAAATCTCGCTCCCATATTCGTCGCACGTGGGTCTCTCCTCTGAGGACAATATGCTCAAGTGGAAATCCAAGTTTCTCGGCCACTGCTGAGAAGATGCCCAGATTGACTTCATCGTCCTTCGGGTCAAACTGCATCAGGGTCCATTCTCTTCCAAATAGATCGTATGTGCTGGTAACCCCGTCCTTCAGAAAGACATGAGGAGCTCGACTGCCAGGCCTGGTGCTTGGCTTGTAAGACTTGACGTCCCAAGGAACCGGTGGGGTCCCGTCAGGATAGATGAATGGCGAGTGATCGTATCTCAAGTCCAATTCAACACCTCGGTCCAAGGTTTCCGGTCCAGAAAACTTTATATAGCTCTCAACTTCTCTCCTCGCCCTATCACCGTCCGGGGTGTTGCGATTGAGCGTGTTCCAAAGCCGATGATAGATGCTGCCCAGTACTACATGCTCCATAACGTGGCGATGCGACCGCTGAAGAGCTCGAATCATCATCGGTCGTCTCTCTGTTCCGTATGCCTTGAGAAGACGATCCCCACCGTAGCCTTTCGCTACGGCAGCAAGTCGCCAGCCGAGATCAACTGCGTCCACAAGGCCGCTATTCATCCCATAACCACCATGAGGAGGGTTACGATGAGCTTAAAGATGAAAAAGTGTGAGTTGAGGTATATATTGATGAGTGTGACAATCGTATCATACCTGCGTCTCCCGCTAGCAGTACATGGCCATTCTTGCTTGAATAAGTCTCGGCCACGCTGAAGCTCGGCTGCCATTCACTGTGGATGAGGACATCGTCAATCAAAATTGGCCATTTTCCTTGAAATCCTCCGAGCATCTTGTAAACGACCTCATGTGGATCCAAAGTACTGCCCTTTTCGTCGTCCGTCAGTGGATAGTGAGCTGTAAAGGTATCTTTGTCATCTTGGTCGATCAAAAAGCCAGTTCCAGCTGGAAAGGCGTGCCAAAACCGCCCAAAATGGAGCTCTCGTGCCAGCTGTGCCGATCGGAAGTGGACCAAGTAGAAGCGAGTGGGACTATCGCGCTTGTCAGTGCTGGGCTTTTTGTAAATCATAACGATTCTGGAAGTCATAGCGCCTTACATTTGGCCACCGGACATCTTGATACCTGCGGACCTTCTAACCCTGCTACTCCCTCCATCACAGCCCACCAGGAATTGGCCACGCAGAGTACGTCTTTGGCCGGTATTGTCTGTGAAACTAGCAATGATCCCTTCCGGGTTTTCAATGTGACCTACATAGGTCCATCCAAACCTGGATACCACCTTTGTTTTGTTCAAAATAAGACGCTTCAGCCATGCCTCGAAAATTATCTGAGAGCATCTTTGACCGGGTTCAGCTGGCTGACTACCATCGTTATTGAGCTTGATATAGTTACGCTGCTGCTGTACAGATGGCAGCCTCTTTTTAAGTGTTCAATATTAGAACAAAGAATTTCAAATAATGAGCGCAAAATAATACATACCCATGAACCAACAAGGTGTCCGCAAGACTCAAGGCTTGTAATAAATATAGAGTCGAAGTTTGCATCGGCACCCACCGCTCCTGGTTGCGCTCGATAATCATCAGCGAGCCCAAGAACCCTTAGGATCTCCATACTACGACAATTAGTCAAGTCCATCTTTGGCCACTGGGTTGTTTGAAGATTCTTGTCCGCAATGAGACATCTGATCCCAAGACGATCTAATTGATATGCAAGTAGCATACCAACAGGTCCGGCACCAACAATAATGACTGGCAAATCGTCATTGGCTTCTCCATCCGTTTCCATTGTGAATTCCCTGGTTGACGGACGTAAAGCGTGAAAGATGTGGGCTGTGGAAAACTTATACATAAAATTACCGCTGATCGAATATAAAGTTTCACGGCTGGTACCACTGTGACCACGGCCAGAAAAGCCTATTTTTGCCGTGAAATGTCTATTGTCGAAAGATTTCTCATCTTCTCGTTTTGTACCAAACAGTGGGGAATTTTAAATGGACATGATTGGTCAAATATGTTCCATTTCGCAGCCGTCTTGATGAGATGCTCTTGGACTCGAATTGTAACAACGATTGGCAACTATTTGCGAGAGGCGACAACCTAACGCCACCTGAAACAAGAGCGGTCATAGCGCCTTATCGGGCTTACCGGGACACTGCAGGTCAGCCGCATCTCGCAAATAGTTGTTCCCCCTGCCACGCCAATTTCATGCCTCGGCAGACATGTCTCCTGTTTTCGTTTACTTCATCCAGAGTACATATTTTGCGGATACAAAGGCACCGGGGGCAGCTTCTCTGAGACGCTTAGGGTTCGGGCACCGGGATGAATGAGGCTGCATCCTGATGGAGAGAGAATGAAATCCTAGTCATTCAACCCTTTGCCTCTTTTGGGCTTTGTGAGAGGCATTGTTACGACATGCCTGATTCATGATGAGACTACATGATAGAACCCTATGCAGTTGTGTTGGGTGCGGGCAGGGTATGGATATGTTACGTCTTTCGTTTGCACGCGTCCGCATCCGCATCCGCACCCGCATCCGCACTCGGATTTATGTAGTTGAGGCACGGGACTTTCGATTCCCCTTCGCCTGGAACGCCGGTATGTCCGAGCGGGAATTGTTGAACATCAAGACAATATTGGCGAAGCTTTCGAGCTTGCAACAGTTACGAGGGGTTCTAAGTGAGGTCACAAAGATGAAATTCCAAGTATGGAATGGTCCTGTTCACAGATTTTGTATTATCATCATCTTACTCCAAACTCACCATAGCCCCCCAGAAATGTGTTGTTCTCTGCGCTGAATGGCCAGCCCAGGGCGCTCGAGACTGGACCCTGTCCCACAGCCAAAGTGTGCAAGATCTAGCGGTGAGGATAGTGCATATCTCCTTTGTCTTTTCTTTTTTTCCTTTCAAAATCAAAATTCTTAATTGATCTTCTGAGCTGGGCTAGGCGTCCACGTGGAAATTCATAGAAACGACGGTTCGCACTTAGGTGCTTGCTATTATGGGTAGGTGTTGGAGTTCGTCACCCGACCAGCAATGATAATTTTCAGCGATTGTCTCATTACGATCAGAAAATGCTTCCAATGTTGCAGCTAAAGACGACTGCGCAGACATTAATCTTGTTTTTATCCTTTTTATCACGGTGTCTAGCAAATGCTGACGTGTTCAAAACCACTGGACATCTACTTTGTATTATCTTATTTTGCACCTGAAATAGAAGTGTATTACAATCTTCCCACCCTTTTCTTACCCTCTTCCCCCTTTCGTCCTCACAAAAGTCTACTGCATCGAAAGGTTGTATATGTGTGCCTATCCTCGTGGCTCAATGAACACTTTTGAGTATTACTGTCTACTGTGGCCTTCTCTCTTCCCATTCTCTCACTCTAAAGCCTAAAACAAGACGGTATCTTATCCAGACCCAAAAACTTTGGTAACCCAGCTTCAGACCCTGTGGGAAAGCCCTGGCTCTTTCCAAGGCCACCATAATGAGATTATTGATCTGGCAAGTCGCGCGATTGCTGCACTTGAGAGTCCTTTTAAGCATTCCAGCGAATAGCATATTCTGTACGTCCATCGTAGAACACATACTATCGTTTCGAATGCCTGGGACTTGTCTAGCCTTCTTCCCTGGTAATTGCACTCATCAGTTAGGAACACAACATTTTCCGAATACTGGTGGAGGATGACAAGAATGGTCATTCTTTGATGACCACTACAGTACTGGCGGAGAGCACGGGCCTTGAGCAGCCTGCGCTTGAGACATTGCTGGATTACATGGCCACGCAGAAATTTGTGGAGAGGGTGTCAGCGCAGGGATTCAAACCGACGTGGCTGTCGTCCGAGCTGCTAACTCCACTATTCATGGATGGGATAATGCATTTGTAAGTTCTGGCCAAAGCTCCCATTTAGTTCTTTTGATGACCAGTGCATTGTAGCTATGACAACTGTCTCCCTGCATTGGGGGGGTCTCAGTTCTTTCCTTCTAATCCAGCCGGAGCACGAACCGCAATTGAACTCGGCCACAGTACATTTGATAGCTTCTATGACTGGGTGGAAACTCGCCCGTCCCAACGGGCTGCGTCTCATCGGTTTATGCAGTTCTGATTTCCGTTTCTCCCAACTTGGCTTGACATCATTGATTTCCAGGCAGAGTTTTCCCAGGATACAGGCACAGAGACGACTATTTTTGTGAACGTCGAAGGTGGTAACGGCAGCAATGCGCGGCTTTATTGCAAAAGAATCCGGATGTAACAGGCCGGGTCATCCTTCAGGATCTCCCTTCGATTGTCGGGAAGGAGATTGCTGATGACCGCGTGGAAATCATGGGCTATGACTAGTTCACGGGACAGCCAGTGAAAAGTACTACCAATCCTACTGAGGAGTTTGCAATGGGCCTTGCTAACCTGATCGCCAACAGATGCACGAGCGTATTACTTTTGGCAGATCTCTCACAATTATGACGATAAAACCTTTCTTCGCATTCTTCGGTCTCTCTATCAAGCTATTGGTCCATAATCAGTGTTAATAATCATGAAAAGGTGCTTGATGACCAGAAGACACACAGTTCCGAATACACCGCTGCACTAAGCGTGATGATGCTGACGATCTTTAAGGCCCGCGAGAGACGGAAAAGCCAGTGGATGGCACTTCTTGGTGGGGCGGGGCGTCAAGTAAAAGAAATCAGGCCTTTCACATCTTTTGGAGACTGCGTCATCATTGCTGTCAAACAATAGGCTATCTGAGCTATTCCTTGGCCAATGTGAAAACTCTGAAAGATTTGTCTAAGCTGCATTGTCAATTAGGATCAAGGTCTGATCCAGATTCCCCTGGATCTGAATCGGTCCAGTAGATGCTCCCTTTTTGAGCGGCCGTCGCCGGAATTAGTTGGTAAATTTGGATTTCTCGGCCTATTGATTTCCTCTTACCGGTCATAGATAAGATCGCCGTTATCGAGTAGAGACGCGGAAGTTATATTATCATATATTCTTCTTAGACACGGAGGTCCCCCCTGTTTTCGTTCCTCTGGGCCTACTTAGACCCGGGTTTGGCATTAGATAACTAAATGTGTTTCTTGAGCCCGCGGCGGAAAGTCAGAAAATTCGCGGATGGTTAGCTAATGCAGCGGCGTGTTAAATATACTGCGAGTTTACGAAACATATGACCGTCTGCTCAGATACGCATATGTATGATGGATGTACGGTTTTTCACTGTGGATGAGGATCATGATAACGATCTCATTCACACAGACAACTTACTGAAAGTTGAACAACCAACTGAGCTACAATATGTATCCGCTCTCAGCCTAGTGGTTGGTGGTTTATAACCAACTCTCCCCCGTGAACCATAAACACGTGGCTGGGGGCGGCGCTTGAAGCTCTGCTACCTGGCTGGGTCACCCATCATAGGCCGCCTAGTGTTGGCTCTGGGTGCTCAAGGACACATACTGCGACAATCGAACCTGTGCGCTCAGAAGTCGTGCAATCAGGGCTCATAGCCTGTTGAATAACCAAATTTATAATACGAATCCACTCTAAGCCTAGTGGTTAGTGACTTCTGATCGACTCCTGCAGCTGAATCACAAAGTCATGCGGTGTATATAGACTATAGGAGTGACTGCTCGTTGGGCCGCCACTCCACTAGGCAGAAGGGAGCTAATTGAGCTACTGCAAATATAAGTCGCTGGACTTTCTCTCGTAAGATAAAATATCATCACACTTGTACCTCAATCCAGGGTCCAATTTGGCGAACGGGCAGGGTAACTGGAGACAAACATACATATGCGCTGTATGAGCTATGGGCTGTCTATTTGCGGCCTGCTCTTCCACGTTCTGGTGAGCAACTTTTATGAACCAGCCTTTTGGCTACGAGTGCCCTCCTATTTTTAGAGATTATTGCTGGCATTTAGAGAAAATCGCGTAAAAGAATAATTATCGTCATGAGGTACAGACCCGGCACGCCAGCACATGATCGCGGAGGACTCATAGAATGTCGAGTGTTATGGGGTTCATCTCCAACCTATACGAGGTAGGGCCAGCAAATGCACCCCACCCCCCCTTCCTAACTTGGATGGGATCGTCATTGGCTGGACGGGTTGGATTAGGAATGTGCGCTGCTTATGGCGTGATCATGGTCTTCTTGACATTCTGAATTGCCTATTGTCACCTTGAGCGCGAACATCCTATTATTCAGTTCCTCAAAGAACCATAATATCTTGGGTAATATATGAAGAAGTGACGATGTCATCCAGCGAGCCAGGATATATGCTTTCTCCTATTGAATGGATGATGCCTCGATCCTACATAACCCAGATTCTCTGCTTTTCTTCTTCAAGTCCACAAGCCCCACAAATCCTCAGGAATGGACTTGCGGATACCTTAGCAGAGGTCCCGTACCTTTTATGTGGAGTCATGGACTCGAGTTTACCAAAAGGTTCTGTGGCGCTCAGCAAACCCTATCAAACTCTGGATGATCTTTTCTCTTTTTCTGACTTATCGGCAACTATGGACTATAATGCATTGAAGGCGGGAAGATTTGATCCATCATCTTTATGCGGTCTCAATGAATTTTCCACCAATGCCAGCGCAGGGAACGAGAATGCACAACCAGTTTTTCGCGCACACCTATATCTGGCGCAAACGGGCTATTTCTTATGCGTCAGAATTCATCACTCGACGACAGATATCACTGGACTAGGCATTCTTCTCAAAACCTGGGCCTCGCATTGTCGATTTGGCCGACCAGGGACCATTCATGCCACAAAAAGCTGGCTAGATCGAAGTGCTTTTGGGGGGGCCTGCACAGAAGCTCCAAATGACCTTCCTGGCCTGCTGCATTATCAAAAAATGCAATGTCCCAATGGGGATCAAGCAAAAGGGAGAGCAACTGGCATGGTCACTTTGATATTCACATTTTCAAACCAACATTTGAATCTTTTGAAGACAGAAGTGACCAAACTTTTCCCCGTCAATGGAATCAGGTGGGTTTCAAAAGGGGACATATTGACGGCCATTCTATGGAGTTCTATCGTGTCTACAGAACTTTCGTTTTATGGGTCTTCTATCTCTACAAACAAACCACCCCAAAGCAACATGCATGCTATTCGCATTCCGGTCAATTTTCGCCGTCGCTATATACCACCTTTGGGAACTAACTTCATGGGAGCTGCCTTTGGTGTGTCATTAGCAACAGCGAAAGAAGAAGATCTTATCAATATTGCATTGTGCGATGACAATGAGCTCTTCCTATCGGCACTAGCAAGAGTCTCCGGGGCTATACGACAAGCCATATCGCGTGTGAATGCACGAAGCATGAAGAGTGTTGTTCAATTCTTGGTGGCGCAGAAAGACATTACAAATCTCAAATTTGGTCCGAGAGATGCAAAAATCTCAATCGTATCTTGGGCAGATGAAGATGTGTACGACTTGAATTGGGGCCATGACATCGGTTTTTGCGATGCAGTGAGATTGCCGAACTTGCGAAAACAAAGATATCCCGTTGTACTTCCGCGGCTTCCAAACGGCAATCTGGAGGTTCTTGTCAGCTTTGAGAAACAGATCATGGATTGCTTCAGGCTTGTGAAGGTTATGAGGTCAACAAGCGTCGATTTTGTTTGAGAATAGTATTTTCGCCCAATAGGTATTGCGCTGCTTTATCCTTTGAGTAGACATGGAATGTTGCAACAGGAAAGTACTGCCCATCTGAGGTACAAACCTTAGTCTTCATCGTTCCCAGTGTGGAAACAATTTCTCAAATTTTTTTAATAGCCCGCATAGAGCCCACAAATCAGAGTGCACCTACACCTAACCCCACCATATCTGCTATGCCTTGAGTTCATTGCGGATCTGCAAAAGACCCCTAACATTCCTCAGAAATATACAGTCACTTGGCCAGGTGATGTTAGCCAATTGGACCCAACGCTGATTGGGCTCGTCATGCATGCCGCAAGTCCCTTCTTTCCCCCGTAATAAGTCAATGGCCGACAACAGTTCCATAGCTTACCGTGTCTCTTTCTGCAGGCATAGAAGAGGCGACGACAGCGAGAAGTGAGAAAATACGAGGTAGAATGATAATTCGTCTGGAATACAGGTCATCTGCCAATGCGTTAGCTGGTCCTGGTCGCAAACCGCAACGGTTGAAAAGCCGTTATTTGATACGTGAAAGACATCATGTCTCAATGAACGAATTCTTGGGCATGGTTTTCAAGGCTTCCCCACCAGCTTTTGCGCGTCTCCTCACCAAAACAAATACTACTAGTGATTCGTGACGAACATACAAGTTTCAATTGTTCCCTCCCTGAGATTTCCGAAGCTGCGACTCGCTGTCGAAATGGCAAGTGCAAAGTGTTCTATTATTAACAATGGTTAAAGGTAACCAGAAGCAATGCCCCGACATAGAAGATTTGGACATGCTGTCCCTAACCTTAACCGAGTGGACCTTAACAGCAAGACATTCACACTGCATCAGTGGATAAAGCCCCGAGGAACAATATCTGCACAAGGCGGATTGCCAGCGCATCTGGCCGCCCTAGCATGTATGTCCGATAGCTACTTTCTATCAGGTCTACCTCACGCTCATAGCGTGTGGGGGTTTGTCAACACGCCAATTACGGAGTTCTACGAAAACAAAGATCGGCTTGGAATGACATCCACTTCCACTACTCACGACAGCATTCCTCGACCACACCTCCAAGGATCAAATGAGGAGTGAAACCCGACTCATAGGGTGGGTATGATGGGTAGCCTTGATCATACGATTATTCTTCACAATCAAAATCACCTACGCGCTGATGAATGGCTCTTAACAGACACTCATTGGGCCGGAGCAGGGCGTGGGTTGCTTTACCAAAAGATCTGGAGCAAATACGGAACCTTGGTCACGAGCTGTACACAAGAGGTATTGGAGATCAGCTTTGAAAATCACCGGAATACGTAGGCTGACCTTTTGTAGGGCGTTTTGCGACTCGAAAATGGTTTACAGCGCCAGGAGAGTCCAACTGATTTTCTAAATGTGAAGTGCGTAATTTAGGGCTTTGAAGAAAAAGAGCAAAATATGGTAGACGTTATTGTAGTGACTGATCATCTTCAGGATGTCTCATCGTTTCAATTAAAAAAACATACATATATGCATTCGTCGTCAACTCAATCATACAGAGGTTGGCAGCCGATACGCAAATACACGAATGCATGATACCTCGATATTTCCGCCAAAGAAAGAGACTAGCGCACGCGAAGCAAGAAGTGCGACAGATGGCTACGGAACCACCATTCCTTGTATTTAAAGACATCGTCTAGGCTTCCACTTGGGTGACAGTGGGAGCAACGCCAGCCTTCTCGTCGGTGAGACCCATCTCGTCGGCGAAGGTGGAGTGCGGCTGCCAGCGAGCGGAGGTACGAGGGTTGGTCTCCTCCATCATCTTATCGACCTGCTCCAGGGACAGGCCCTTGGTCTCGGGAATGAGGAAGTAGGTGTAGACAAAGGCGCAGAAGCATAGGGAACCCCAGAGGAAGAAGACCTTGGGGCCCAAGTTGGCCTTGTCAGCGTCAACCAAGTAAGGAGTGATGACGGCAATGATCTATGAAAATAGTTAGTAGGCGTTGAAAATGTGGTGAAGGACCAGTAGATACGTACGCAGTTCCAGAGCCAATTGGAGGCGGTAGACAGGGCAACACCACGGGAACGGATGGGGAGAGGGAAGATCTCGCCGATCACGACCCAGGCACCGGGACCCCAGGTAATAGCGAAGAAAAAGACGTAGATACAGATGAATGCAATCATGGCGCTAACAGCCGAGTGGTTCTGTCCATCGACTGTACCAACGATAGCGACAATGAACTGACAAATGACCATACCCAGAGCACCCCATAGGAGGATAGTGCGACGACCATACTTCTCGATAATATAAAAAGAAATAGGAGTTGACAGCACATTAACAATAGTTGTGATCATGCTGATCAAGAAGGGATTCGAAATCGTTCCTAATTGGGTGAAGAAGGTGGTTCCGAAGTAGAACACGAAGTTGACACCAGTCCACCTAAAGGCCATATTAGGAATACGAATTCATGCAGAAATAGTAGGGGATTGACTTACTGTTGCATCATCTGCAGAGAAGTACCTAGGATGGTGAGGCGAATGTTGCTGTTAGCTTTGAAAAGGCTTCCAGTAAAGCAGTTCAACCAGCTAGCAAAGTAGCCGCCGTCGGGAATAACCTGCTGCTCGTACTGGAAATTAGCGTCGATCTCCGTTAACTCGAGGCTGATGTATTCAGAATCAATAGGCTGACCGCGAACGCGAGCCAGAACCTCGCGCGCCTTCTCCTTATTGCCCTTGCGAATGAAGTAACGAGGGGACTCAGGCAGGAAGAAGAGACCAGTGGCGAGGATGATAGCCCAAAGGAGTTGGAGGGCAATAGGAATGCGGTATGAGCCAGAGTCGGTGCGCTTCGAGGTGCCATAGTCGATAACGGACGCCAGCATTAGGCCGATAGTGACGCAGAACTGGTAGCCCGAGACGATAGTCCCACGCACTTTACGGGGAGCAATCTCAGACATGTACAGAATAATGATGGCCGAAACGAAGCCGACACCAAATCCAGCAATCAGACGACCAGCCACCAGCAGACCTAAGCTACTAGAGGCGGTTTGGAGAACCACACCGACAATAAAAACACCGCAACCAGAGATAATGGTTGTGCGACGTCCATACCAGTCTGCGATATCACCAGCAATCAGTGCGCCAAAGAATGTACCGGCCGAGAGAATGGAGACGATGAGAGACTTCTTCCACGAGGGAATAACGAATTGGGCGGCAGGGGTAGATGCTTTGTCCTGTTCAAGATATAAGCGTGTGTCTTATAAGATACTCCATAATTCAAAGTGCAGTTACCAGGTGCTCGAATGTCGAGATAAAGTAATCCATACCGAGAACACTGCCAATGTATCCAGAATCGTATCCGAAGAAGATACCACCAAAGGCAGCAAAGGCACACATCAAGTAAGTCTTGAGGGTAACCGGGGCCTCGACGCGCAGGGCGTCGACGCCGCCAGCAGGACCTGCACCACCGGGCATTGGAGTGAGTCTCTTTGGTAGATTGACGACGAGTTTGGTAGGACCAAACAATCAATGGAGAAGTGAGTGAGGAAAGAAATATGCAACCGAGGTATGTAAAGGAGACGAGCAATTGACAAAGAAGGGGAAAGGATGGAGATTTATAACATACGGGCCAAGGCCTGTCAGGTCTCGTCCCCCAGAGTCCAAAAAATAGCAGGCGTAGGGGAAAAAAAGTAGCAACCCGAACTAATGCAACCCTGGACCGAACTCGACTCCATATTTTGGCCACTCTTGTCACGATGGATCACGATCAAGGCCCTCAATGGCTCGAGCTAAATACGATATCCTATATGGCTCCTGGACCCTTCCGATATCGAGAAATACGCTGGGATCGCACCATGGCTGAGTCTATGTTACTTCCAAATAAAGGGGCCATGTCATGTGGGTAGAGGAACCGGGGAAAAATTTGATTGAATTTGCGGAAGGGTGAAACTCCACGGGCTGGTTGGTTGGCTTATGGCTCGGGTCTGACCGATGCCAAGAGGAATAATGGCTTCGCTAAGGGGATTCATCTTGCGACAGAGAAATCACAGCCGCGCTCATCTTCGGAAGGCGTAAACTCCCCAGGATATGCTCACCACTGTGAGTATTTGGGTGTTTTCTACGGACATGGCTGACTTTCACGGTCAGCTCACGCGAATCTGAATGAAACTGAGAGTGAACGGTTTTCGTAAAGATCACGCACTGCCGAACATTGTGGCACCGGCATTAGTATTGGACGCAACGCGATGGAAGATCCAAAGAAGAAAAAGAGAAACATGAGGCCTGTGCTTTTAGCATCTGTTACCCCGCGGACCCAGAACCCGAATCTGGCTGGACCCCGAGACTCTGTATGGCTGGCATCGTGGGGCGCGTTTGGTGGGGGAAAGAATAAGCGGGAATGTCAACTCCCGTGGAACGACTTGGGTCTCGTGGCGCTCTATTGCACAAATGCCCCGCAATTCCCCACCATTTGGCGCATACCCTATGGACGCCTTCCACCGTGAGAATGCGCCGGATACGAGAAGGTTATGCCCACGGACTAATATCGGCACCCAAGGGTCTTTTTTCCGGTGCTTCGTAAATGTTCTACTTTGTCGGGTCACTCAGGTGGAAATTCCACAAGCTGATGTGTCTCAGGGAGAAAAAAGTCATTGGTGAAGATTGTACATTTCTCCCGATAGAGTTCCCCAAATCCCCACTATACAGAAGCTTGGAACAAATGTGAAAATTTTGCGTTTTCATTTTCTTCTTTGATCACATGTTGAAAAGTTCGGATGACTCATCCCAGTCTCCCTTGAACTTAGTTATATTCAACATAGACAGCACGAGCCGATATCCATCATCTGGAGATTATTATTGATCTCTTGTGGCTCGGTCCAGGTCCACTTTTAGAATACTGAAGCAATACGCACGAACCCTTTCCAATATCAATATTGGGCCTTCGAACCAATGACAAAAAGAGAACGACATGCTAGGCAAACGCCACAGCCAAGAATGTAAGATTACGCGAGACAGCTCGCCAAATCCACTCCCCCGTCAGCTTCCATAATTCTTCCCCATGTCTTCTACTCGAGTGGCGGAAATTGAGACGTCGGTGATCACGGTGAGTGAATTGCGTTAGGATCGAACTTTAACAGCTTAGGGTTATAGCTTCGTGGTTTAATAGGGGCTACCTTAGTATGACGAGTCACATTCAGTGTTGGCCAACAAGGGTCTTGGCAACCCTGAAGACTACCAGTTTTGAGGTGACACGGTGGGTGATCATAATGGATTGCCGGGGTCCAGGGGTATAGCTCTAGTCATATAATCTGAAGAACGTAGCACCAGAGTCGAAAGTCCGTAGAAGTAATTTGAGAAACTGGCCGGTTAAGATGATAATAATCCAGCTTGATGCAAACTCGACAGTCCCGCGAAATTGACCATTATTTTTTCTCTTCTACAAAGCATCAACCACTGTTACATTCTGAAGATCCTCAATGCTATTCTCAATACCTCATAGCAATATAGGATGTGACATGGGAAATGTCACAGCAAGATACCTTCCGAAGTAAAGTATGCAATGGTAGCAGCGAATGTATCCAAGTTGTCGCTGACCTTCGCCAGGGCAGCGCCAGCCTTCACGATCATATAAGTCACACCAACAGTATTGAGTCCGTATACCACCAGACCGCTCGTGGTACCCTCAATGCTGAAAATCATACTTTGACAGTTTTCAAGAATGGGGAAAGTGGAACAGGCGGTGCTTTAGTTGTTGAAGAAGCTGTACAATCCAGCTCCATAGATAACGACGCTGTTGGAGTTGAGCACGCGCAGACCAAGAGCGTCACAATTTTCACCGAGACAACTACTGTAGCTGAGGTCATTGAGGTTGGAGTTAGTTGGATATGGACTGTTAGCTGCGCTGGGGTTTGGCTGGTAGTATCTGTATGATCAAATTAGAATGAGAGATCAAATGAATATTGCTTGGGGAATGTCTTACGGCGTTTCCGTTTGAATGTATCCTGCAGTAATAGACTTTGCGCCTGAGAATTGATACTGATATAGAGAGTGGTGCTCTACTGCCATTTCGTACCTATTATCGGGGTTAATTAGAGTGAATGTGGCCAGGGTTCATGGCTTGTTTTACTTACAGCCATATGTTCTGTCCCTCTATCAAGAGGCCGCGGCCAGTGTACACAAAGATCTGGGTGTTAGTTGAGCTTTCGAGGTCATGATCAGCGGTCCAGAGCCAACCGTTCTCGAGGTAGACACCAGTAGCCATACTGGTAACCTGCATGGACATAGAAGCAACCTCACAGTCGGCAGAGACTGCAGCAGTTGTCGGGCATTGAGCGACCTGCTGTTGAGAACCTTGTAAACCGCCAATGCGAGTATGAACATCCCACATTCCAGATCCCGATGCGGCTTTCAAGCTCCACTCGATGAGCACAGCGCCCGGTGTGGAGCCAAACGTGCTCACTATCATGTCAGACCATTAGATCGTCCCATACAAGTCGAACCAGAACGCCTCAAGAGCCACCTAAGTAAAAGATGAGCAGATCTCACCCTTCTGCAATGAAAATTTGAGATATCAGCCCTTGCTTAAATCCTATAACTACAAAATCAAGGAGACGCCTGGCGCTTCATACCGTCTTTGCAATATGGATCTACAAATCAACTCTCGCCTGGCTCCCATTTTGGAGGCCCATGTATTCTATCAGTGAGAAGTGACCGGCAAACCACTTAGTTGGAAACGAGTGGGAAGATGTTTCAGGCCAATGACAAAAGAAGTTATGAGCGACTTAGTTTTCCATCGTGCAAATACGCAATCTGGAGCCAAACAGTACCGAGAACTGAGCGACACTCTGAAAGAACAAGTCAACAAATTGTCACAAAAAAAGCGAGATCTAGAGTCGCATATGGAATGGTCTGCCGCAGCCTGTACCCTTCTCGTGGCCGTAATCTACAGGTTAGGGACTATTTTAGTGTCATCCTACTTGGAAGTCTGAAAGAGACGAAAACATGCGTGAGAACACCAATGGGGAAGCTCGTGGACCTGGGGTCAAATTTCCGTGATCATGAGGTCTGTGATTTGAATGACTTTGATCATGAGGACTTGGAGTCGAATGACTGTGATGATGAGGAGTTGAATGACTGTGATGATGAGGAGGAGGAGTTGAATGATCGTGATGATGAGGAGTTGAGTGAATGTGAATACTAGGACTTATTTAGCTAAAAGGAATGATGGCAACTGAGGCCTGCTGAGGGGATGGGACTGGAAATACTAGTGTTGCTGTTTCAAAGCCCTACGAGTTGTTTTATTTATCTGTGAATACGAGTGAACCTATACCATTTTCATGCCACCCTGATAATTTCTAGCACTTTTTACTCTCTAACAATTTAGTATAAATAAGATTCCATCTTATGGATCAGAGGAGCTAGTTGCTAGATAGATAGCTGCTCCACTTTATAGCGCGGGCGCTGACACTATATACTACTTCCTGCTTCTTATGACTAATACTCTTACTATTATAGGCGACTAGACTATGTCTTTAATTAAAATGTTTTTCCTCTCTATGGCATCGAACGTAGAAGTTCAACAAAGGGCATAAGATGAGATTGACCAGGTAATTAGGCCTAGTCGCCTCCCCATATCAGCAGATCGCAATTGCCTACCTTACATGAATATAGTAGTAAGGGAGGTATTATTAGTAACCTATAGTACTTATAGTGGTTCTATATACACCAACTGCTAGCGATATATACAATAGATATTATATTCCTGAGGGTTCTCTTCTTATGCCCAATATTTAGCAAGACCTAACGCGCGATATATCGAGTTACTTTGTTCTTACTCATAGTGTTTATATTCTATTCCACATAATAGGGGTAAATGCACGATCCTATGGCCTTTAAGCCAGAACGTTTCCTAGAGATCGATAGTTGGGGCCCAGAAATAGATACGCACACCTTCGTGTTCGGCTTTGGGCGTCGCATCTGCCCCGATCGGATTTTGGCAGACAGCACAGTTTAGCTCAGTGTTGCAAATACCCTTATAGTGTTTGAAATCAGCAAACCCGTGGAGAAAAGTGCTGAGGTAGATATAAAACCAGAATTGCAGCCTAGGGTTATCAGCCATCCGATCCCATACAAGCTGCAGGTCACGCCCCGGATCTCTGCACATGCAGAATTGATACTATTAGTGGGAGCAGGGTGACGGGTCCGAGTTGCATAGGGTCCAATGTTAACGATCGTACATGCCGTGAAGTTTCAAGGGTTTATTATGTGAGCACGAGGCTTCAAATTCGCTCTTTTAAATCTAGCTATAGTTGTAATAAAAGACATACTGTGGCTCAAGAAAGCTATTCTATAGCTTGATGGCTCTCTTGAGATTAGAAATTGAAGACGATATCAGGCGATCAAAGTCCTTGGTGTGGATTAAGCCTGTGTGAGCCTGGGATATGTCTGTAATTCCAAATAGCCTCAGCGGGTTTCCATTTCAAGCCCGTCTTGCAGCCATGGGATAAAAGTCAGAAAATTATGCATCAGAAAAGACTGAGGTTTGCATAGAATCTCGAGCATTCATAATGAAAAATCTGACCATAAATCCAGCCTTTGTCCTGGTGAGACCACTTCCTGACTCGACATTCAGGGATGTTGTGTATGTCATAGACATTGAAATAATCGGATCGGGTAGTAAGCAGTCTTAATTATGGAGCGAATAATTTGCCGCTAGAGAAACGAGGTCTGTGGTAGAAAATGAACATGATACTAATGCCATCATCGATGTATTTTGTTACTTACCTTTCTCGCGATCTTAGGCACTGATGAGCTGCGATAGAGAAGGATTTGAACCTTTGGGTTCCAATCCTATAAGAGTGACTGTAGTCTACCAGACTATAAAAGTCTTGGCATTTTCATCCAAATAAAAAAATTGAGCTATAGTAGACTATAAATATTTTCAGCGCTAGACTATATTCTGATCTACTTATAAAATTTCGCGTAAACTTTCAGAAGTTCTAGTTCAGTATCTAAATTTTTTATATGTAAATTTTCATATCTTAAATCCCCGTAGATACGGTACCTCTTACATGACGAAAGCTGGCTTCAGCTGTAGAGGAACTAACCCTCGTAGGCAAATATGGTCCCCGTTTGTATTGCCCATGGATTCTGCTCTTTATTGCCGCTTCTATTCGTTCCTGGCGTCTACTCACAGCCGGTGACGCCCATGTAAGCTGACGCAGACATCCAGGGCTTCGACAATGTGTAGATATGAGCGACAGCCCGTATTACAGTGAAAGTCGAAATTAACCTCCCCTCTGGACACACGTACCGTTTCTCGGCTGGTACCCGAAACCGCCCTAGTCCATATTAGGTCACTCAATGAACAGCCCCTGCCTAGCTGAATCGCGTCTTCCAGCGTGCGGGATTCCAGCGCTCAATGAGTCGTAAAATACCGTAAACACCCATAAGAAATTTTCAAATTCGCGGGGAGAGATCTGGCGACGTGGCCTGATCTACCCCAGTGTCAGAGCTTAAAACGTCCGTATTCATTATTCTGCTCACTACCAATCTGGCAAAGTTTGCTCTTGGCTTTTTACATACTCACATTTTTACCAGATTTATATTTCAGCTCCTACTTTCTAGATGGCAACCTCAAATACCCTAAATCTGGATCTCGTCACTCTCTATAGACATCTGGTTCGCGGCATTTTCAGACTCTGGTTCCCGACGCTTGTTTCCTCATACCGCTGGTGTGCGAAGTTGGCTGGAAGATGCCATCCACGGGGATTTAGGAAGACCTTTCCAGCGCTATCTCAAAGTAGTTGATACCGGATCAAAAGACGCCGATGGCAAATCGCGAATAGCCGCCTATGCAAAATGGGACTTGGCAACTCCCGAGGAACGTGGACCACGCTATCCTCCGTGGTACGGCGATATGCCTAGGGAGCTTTGCGAAGCTCTTGTGACTGTAGGCGAGAGCAATAGAAAGCGTGTTATGGGTGACCAAAAATATATTTGTATGATTTCCCGTTCTGTGTCTGCTTCAGGCATGTGCCTATGCTAACTCTTATTGTTCGAGGTAAAAGATTTAGACATAGTCGCTACGCATCCAGAGTATCAACGGCAAGGGGCTGCTTCCATGCTTGTCAAACGGGGAAGTGATTTGGCCGATGTCGAAGGACTTAAGACGTATGTGAGTGCCAGTAGAAATGGTGCTTCTTTGTACGCAAAGTTTGGATTCGTTGATTATAGTATTACGGGCCAAGACACTATCTCGATAGCTCGGTCATGGCGGAGTCGGACCTAAACGGTGATCAATTACTCTTCCTAGGATCACTGCCTTGAACAATCAAGCTATTCAGGGCACGCGAACTTAACTTTCGTGTCTTGTTCTCAGCGCTAGTTTTGATCATTATAGAGTTTCAAGATATTTTTAACTAATGTTCCACGTAGCTTAGTTTAAAATAAAGTATATAGATAGAGGAATATCACTACCTACTGATATAATACTATACATTAGGGATGTTGTAATTACGAAATTGGCCAACTCATTACGAAATCTTGAAATTTCATTTCATTTTCTCGTTTCAATTACATTTCAAGGGGCTGGCGCCTGCTGAGTCATCAGAAGCGGTAACCTATTATAGCCAATAATGGCCTATACTTCATTTTTCTGCCAGTCTTCATCAAGTATGCTGTAGCTCGTGGCAACAGGTGGAAGAATATATATCTTTGGCTTGTTTAGAATACTCTCAAGGTCTCACCCCTTCCTAGCACCCTCACCTTCGAAATGGCTCCTAATCATCCTTGCGGAAAGGTTTCCTACTCAGAGCTCGAGCTTCAGAGATGCTTCAAAATCATACAGGGTGATAAAAAGGTAAGAACTAATTCATAAACTTATCCTCTACTCCCCTAATTGCAGCTTCTTCAGGTGCCTCAAGCACAATGTCTTGGATGCTTGAAGACTCGCGCCAAAAATACTACACGCCAGAGTGAGCATGTTAATAAATGCACAAAAGCACAGGCTCTGATGGATCCCAAGACCGCCGCAGAGAAGAAACAGAAATTGCTAAGTTTCTCTACATCTCAGCCAGCCAGAAGCATTGATCAGCTAATCGCTCAGGTCTGTTTCACCGGGGCTAGACCATTCAACCTTTTCGAACAGCAAGAAATGCGAGAACTTATCCATGCGTTAAGCCCGACGTATCAAATTCCTTCCCGCCAACGAGTCGCCGATGACCTGCTGGATGAAGCATATAATGAACTACTAGAGAAGGTTATTAAAGAGTTACGGAGAACTGAGTTCTTAAATGTCACAGTGGATGAGACCACTAACATTAGATCTCAACGGGTGATAGTGATGACTATAACAACGCCGATAAAGTCATGGTTTGTCTACTTGAATGATATGGAAGACAAGACTCTTGATGCTCCTGCTATTAGTGGTTGGATCTTGAATAGTCTCAAATGTCTCCTACTACAACTGGATACAACGATTGACTGGAAAAGAATTAATTCTATCTCGACAGACACATGTTCTGTCATGAAATCGGTCTGGGAGAAGCTAGAGAACACACCAGAGCTCAAACACTGCTTTATGATTCCCTGTGACTCTCACGGCCTACAGTTAATCATGAAGGATATTGTTGATGCTAAGGGTTCGAAGGTTCCACGGGCTGCGGAGGTATTTAAGTCGGCCCTTGAAATAGTCGTCTTCTTCCACCACTCACCACTCGAGTACGCAAGGATGCAAGGAAAGCAGATTGAGAAGTGGGGATATAGGAAGGCTCTTATTGCGTCAGTCATTACAAGATGGGGAACGCAATATAATATGCTCTCCTCGCTCCACGACTGCCAAGAAGCTATCTGTGAGTGGACACTTATCACTCCTGCTACCTCGACTGCTAGGGGGAGGGAGATTATTCGGATAGCGAACTCGCATTCGTTCTGGTGGCAACTAAAGGAGTTGATTAAAATCCTTAAGCCTCTACATGTTGCCCAAAAAGAGTCCGAAGCTCGGAACTCGTCGATTATGGAGGTAACGCAGCGATGGCTAGATCTCCATGAAGATCTACGAACATTGGCTTCCCAAACATCTCTTAAGGACGATTTCTTGTCCTATTTGGATGGCATAGGCTGGCAAAGTCGAATACTACGTCAGCTTGAGCCTATCCACTGGGTAGCCTATCATCTTGATCCCGCTAGAGTCCCTGGGAA